TTTTTTTAAATAAGAAGTAACAAAATTACTTTAACTCACTGTCAAAGTCAAAAAAAGTCAAAAAAAAAAAAAGGCAGATCTTACAAACCATAATTAATTACACTGGCACAAAGTTAACAATGTCTGCATTGATGAGGAAGAGTTATTTTCACATGCAATTGGAAAAAAAACTGGATAAAGCCTTTACACAGGACAAGTTTTATCAATATTTAAAATATATGCTACATGATAATATTATAATGAAAGACATTTCCATCTGACAATTAAAAATATAAGAAAGAAACCATGTTTTGCACTAACCAGGTTCACCCTGCCGTGCCATGTGGTCAAGCTGTACCTTTCTCAAGCCCATCTGCCTTGGCTTCAGTAAACTACCCTCCTCCAATTCTCCTCGTCTCTCTGACCAGCTCTTGTAGGTAAGTACTTCTGCCATCCATTCTCATCTCTTTGAGAACTTTGCTTCTAGCTCTACTATTCTTCTCCCTCAGCTCTCATGTTTTACCCCAAAATCACATGTGCAATTCCAGCCACCAGTCATGAAAGCTACTACGGTCTGGACATGTTCTGAGTGTCTCCCAAAGGCTTATGTGCTAGAAGCTTGGTCCCCAGTCTAACAGTTTCAAGGGGGTAGAGTTTTAAGAGGCGAGACCTACTGGAAGGTGATTAGGTCATGGGACACCACCCTGGAAGGGATTAATGTAGTTCTCACAGGATCAGACTGATTCTCACAAGAGTGGATTGTTCTGACGTAATGGCCCTCCATGTGCTTGGACTTTTCTACACATGGCCATTTCTCTTTCCACTTTCCCACCATGTTTTGACATAGTCATGGAGGCCCTTGCTAGATGGCTGGCACCGGGTTGCACAGACTTTCCAGCAACAAGAATTGTGAGCCAAATGCCTCTTTTATTTACAAAATACCCTGGCTCAGATATTTTGTTATAGCAACGGTGTTATCAAGTCTTCTTATATTTTCAGCAATATTATTTGGCTGATAAATTAACAGCAAGTTGAGAAACAGCTAGATACTATTTTTTTAAAAATCACCAAGGTACACGATATTTGCCACTCCTTACTGTTATTTTCTCTTCAGTCCTGGTCTCCACAATGTACAAAAACTATGGAAAGGACTAGGAGAGAGCTCACTAGATACCAAGATGGCAATGTGAAGCTTGCAGATCAGGGTAAAGCATAAATTGCCTTCCTGAGAAAGAAACAGCTGACAAAACATAATACAGTTCTGAGAGCACATAAAAGATTGCACATGAATTGATAAGCCCCTTTCATCTTCGGCTAGGAACTAAAGGGGATGATTGGTCTAAGTTTTGGGCTACATAGAACAGCTTCCACTTAACCCACAAAGATCTCTAAAAAGAGCTGACAAAGAGTAAATCATTTCCCTCCACTCACTATCATGGTTGGAGCAATCACTAGCTTTGATGCCTGACATTATCCTTACTGCTATTAGATAACATCCACTATCTTAGCAAGGTAAATCCTGACTGAATTACACTGCACAAGATATATGAATGCCAAATTTTATGTTATACTATGTATTTTACAAAAACTTTTTAAAATATTTCATCAAAAACAAAATATATAAAAACTGCTGGAAACACACAAAAATGGGCAGATTGTTAAGATAAAGAGAACTATTTTAAGACTTGTTTTGGACTGCTACATACAGACTGACGAAATTAAATGCCGAAAAGACATGGCTCCTGAAATAAGGAAGTGTCCTCTGAGTGAACGTCAGCATGGCCAAAGAAAATGGCAAGATGATTCTCCTCTGAAGATCAAACACCAGTTGATAGTCTCAGAAATTAGAAAAAAATAATAAAAATAACTGTTACTTACTGAGCCTCTGTTTCTAATCAAGCACTGCACTGTGCTTAGTACTTGTAAATATGCTGCCATGCAACTCTCCCTAAAGAGGGTGTTGCTTCTGCTCCTTAAGATTGCAGATACCAGGGCTCAGAGACACAACTCCATCACAATGTCAGCAAGAGATGAGATCAGGATCTGAGAGAGGTTCTGACTCCACAGCTCATAGCTTTTCTATTACAATGATGATTTCTATTCAGTTTTTACTGGACTTAGAAAGAGGACTGAGTAATCTCCCTTTCCCCAATTCATGGAGTATCTCTTCTGTGGATGCAATGAACAAAATCTTTCATCAATACATTACAATTATATCCTTCAAGATTGACCTCAAAATTCACTTTCCTGAAGAACAGAAGGAAAGTGACATTTGCAAACAGTATAGAACCATTTACTCTTCTAGGTAGTTTTCCAGGATTCATACTCGCCTTAATGAATACAGTGATAAAAATCTACCAAAGAACATATATACGTATTCATGTTACTTTCTCTTCCTTACATGGTGCCTTGACACCATGAAACCTGTACTGAAAATTACAGGTTTACAGAATATCTACTGCACACAAGGAAACAGTCTAAGTACTATGCAAAATGCTAAAAGATTAGAATCTATACTTCTTGCCTCTAAACGCTTGTAATTTTAGTATCAGAAGCAAGACAAACTTGCAAAGAACACTGAAGAGAAAAGGTCACACACACACACACACACACACACACACACACAAATTAACATAATGTAAACTGAACATTCAACATGCTAAGGAAATAAAGTCTTTATTTGCCAAGTGAAACTCCTGAAAGAAGTGTGTGTTGATCACTGTTTAGACAGTCCATAAATGACTGTTAGAAACACCAAGACCTTCTTAGATAATCAACAGAAACTTATTCTTAAATTCATTTAAAAATACTATAAAAACTCTAAAAATTACCAAAGGCTTAGTTTATGGAATATGTAGCTGTTAATAAAGTAATAAGGTTTTTAAAAAATATTTCTCAGTAGTGTGGGTATCAAGACTCCTTCCTTTTCTTATTACCACCATCTTGAATACCACCTTGGCTCAATTTTTTTCAGAGCAGGAAGCTGTTATACCAAGACAAAAGCTAGCATCATAAATGCAATCAAGGTCTAAACACACAAAAACTATACTACCAAAGTCAAGGCCAGACAGGAGAGACAAAAGAAGAGAAGGATAAATAATACCCATTAATACATAAAGGAAAGTATGTTTTCTAAAAGGCAGAGATCATGACTACAGGCACATGTCTCCCTCCTAATAACTGGGGCTGTGAGGTGGGTAGAGCACATAAACTGTCCTGGCTGGTATTAGAGCCACGATGATTCGTTCTGGGATTCATATTCTTAGGATTTCAAATCAAATACACTCCATATATCAGATGGTTTGACTGCTTATTTTTTAATCCGATAAGACCATAATAAGCCAAGTCAATGTAGACTTGATCTCCTCCTCCACGTTGGGTCCCCTCTTTCACTTTCCACAAATGCCTAGACAGCTCAGAGATATGGCATCTTCACTCAATTTCTTGTCCCTCTTATTTTAATCCATTCAAAACTTCTGTGATTAAAAAAAATGCCAGACCTCAGTCACTTTAGTCCCTCTGTGGGGAAATAAAATTGATGTTTTTCATTTTCACACAAGAGGATAGAACAAATATTCTGAGGAACAATATTATGTCCAGTCTTACCCATTAAAAAAAAAAAAAAAAAAGCAGGCAACATTCTTTGCAGTACTAGAGGCTAAAAGGTTTTGTGGAGTTCTCAGGCTGAAGAGTTCAGCCTATGCCATTAGCCTGTAAGTGTAACAAGTATGACGGCGACTTCTGAGCAGGAGATGAAGTGCTGTGGAACATCCTCTCAGTCACAGTGGAAGTCAGCTGGGGTTGCAGGGGAGTTGGGGAAGGGAACAGGGGAAGAACCAGCTCCACATTCTCTCTAGTTACTCCAGTCATATCCTTTCCCCTCTCTCCCTGTCACAGCTGATTAAATGAATCAAGGGTTTTCTGCCTCTGATTTTTTACTTGAATGTGAAGAATATCTGAGGGCTGGGGCTATAGCTCAGTGGCAGAGCATCTAGCTGTCATGTGTGAGGCACTGGGTTTGATCCTTACCACCCACATAAAAATAAAACAAATAAAGGCATTCTGTCCGTATACAACTACAAAAAAAAATTTAAAGAAATTTTTGAGAGCAATTTCATCATGAAAACAACAAAAGAATAAAACTAGAGAATTTCAGAGGCCTTTAAGCACTTTCTCCATTTCCAATTGAATTTTGTAAGTTTTGCAGAATTTCAGAAAGTTATTTTAAATAATGATTTAAACCTAAAGGGAGAATACAAAATATTAGAACAGTAGCTTTTTAAAAACAATCTTGGAGCTCGGGTTGTGGCTCAGTGGTAGAGTGCTTGCCTTGCATGTGTGAGGCACTGAATTTAATTCTCAGCACCACATATAAATAAATGAGCAAAATAAAGGCCCATCCACATCCAACATCTAAAAAGAATATTTTAAAAAACAATCTCACCTGAGGAAGCAGTACCTTAACAATAATAGAAGCTGAGGTGCTATGTTGGGAGGGAAGGTGTGGGTATGAAGTCCTGCAGCGAGTATCCCGGGCCCCAGACCCAATCCCACCTAAAATACCTGTCCTGTCAAACCCATCTAGCCACGGACATAGAGGACAGAACACATGCACCCACTATCCAAAAACCTCCTACTGGCCCAAGCATTGCCAGAAAAGCTTCCAGAAGTCTCTCCTGGCTTCCGTGGGAAGAACATGCCCCTAACCGAGTCTGCTTTCCATGTACAGCAGGGAGTTTCAAAGGTATCTCCACTTCTCAAGTGTTCCCTGTCCCTTCTCATTCTTCACATTTTTGCACATAAATATGGTAAAAGGCATGTTGAATAGTTCTATATTGCATTCTAAATATTAAGGTGCATAATTTTCCATATTTTCCCTAAGTTTTTTCTCCCTTGGGTTGTATTTGGTAGTTAATACCCGGAAAAACTTCTTCCACAACACAGAAAAATGCAGTCTCCATCTCAAAGCTCAAATCTCCTTAAATAAAAATCAAAATCACTTATTAACCATGAGAACTAACCTGCAGACACGAGCTGGAAAATACAACTTTTGCCAAGACCGACATAGATATTGCGAATGATCTATCACTCTGATCCAATCAAGTTCATCCATTGACACTTCAATAAAGTAGGAATAAGACCTATGAATCAAAAGGGAAAAGACATTAAAACAACAATACTAAGCTGTACTTAAATGTTAAAAAGTACTAAAAATATAGAATTAACTATATTTTCTGTACAACAAATTTTTATAACAATGAAAATTATGTATATCCCTCTTTTGTATCATTCACCACAGTGTATTAGAATTCTCTCTCAGCTCGTCTGTCTGCCTCATCAAATCACAAACTGCTTAAGAACAAGGACCACAGCTCAGTAAATATCAAAAGCAAGCAAGACATTTGTTCCTTTTCAAATATGGCCAGGGATGTCTTGGTCACACCATATTAGCAGATTAATAGAGCTGATAGGGAGAAAAGAGGGGAGGAAAAAGAAAACAGAGAAGCACTAAGTCCCTGGTCTAGTGCTTAGCCCTTCCCTCTTGGGGGAAAGCCAACTTGGAATGGTTCCCCACAGAGGCTAGTGTATATCCTGCCGCCTCTCTGTCTCCTACCATCCAGCACACACAAGCAGCCTGCAAAAAAATAAATGATATGGGTGAAGAGATAATGAGTGTTTCCTTTGGATACAACTTAAACCTAGCCAGCTAATAACCTGGCAGTAATGAAAATATCCCATCATCCTCCCCAAGTCAGCTACCCTGCTCCATTACATGCTGGTCCCATACTCAACAAATCTATATTCCTTGTCATAAAGCCAAATTTAAATTTGCGATGCAGTTATTACTTGTACTGTAATATCAACAGGAACAATCTTGGAAGATTTAGGTGACCATAAATGTCAGCCTGCAACCTACAGTTGTGACCAGAAAAGGTCAGCTTATTTTGTGTCATCCCCTCATTTTCTGCTGTACCCTCACCTCCCATTCATTTTATCACTCAGTCTCAAACTGGTTATAACCTTTTATTGAACCTCTCTGGGTTATCAGTAATCCAGGATATAATTTTACAACATGTCAAAATCTTTTTGGCTTAAGATTTTGAATTTTTCACCTCTTCTTATAATGATAACAATTTTTGTGAGAAAAGAACAACAGTTCCATGGTAAAGTTAAGCCCCAGTGAATATAACACAGATATTTAAACAAAGTGGCCTATATTTAATATTATGAAAACAATGATAAGTACTCTGTGTTTCAAACACACAAACCATTTCTCTTATTAATTTGTACTTTTCTACTAATTTCATCATTAATTAGATGAGCAAATGTTCAAGCTTTTAGAACTATGCCTACCACATACAAGTAATGAAAAGTTTCATATAAATATTATCATTATATTGTTATTCTTAATCAGAGACTCTTGGAAATGAGATGTGAGTTAGCTCCACTTTTACAATTAAACATCAAATCATATCCACCAAGACACATGTCAGGATATATATTAATAAAAAGGAAACCAAAAGTGATAACCCAGGGACCTTGTCCATCCACACACCTGCGAAATCCCGGCTCATCTCAGAGAGATTTCCTCATACATGACTCAAATAGCCCAAGAGGCGAGGGCAGTGGCCTTGCAGGAGAAACACACTATGCCCCGTGAGGATTTCAGGGCATCATCACCATTACTAGTAAGCCCTTCATGACCAGGCCAAAAAGGCAAAAATAGGGCCCCTTTCCTGGGAGGGAGGGTTTAGGTTAATGATAAGCAGCAGCAAGACAATTCAGTTCTGGTACTTCTGCCATCATGGATGGACCCTAGAAGTCACTGTGGGTGAAAATATCCCAGTGGCTGGAAGGCAGAATCCTGAAACCACTGAGGAACATGGGTCCCAGGCTGGAGCACAACAAATTTTTTCACAAATTTCTTTTGTTTTGAGGAGGATATTTATCCACATACTAAAAGACAATTTCTTCATCCATAGGATAAAATGCATGTAAAAGGTTGTTATAATATCCAAAAGTAAGGAATTGAGTGAACAATGTTAACCTAAAAGGTACAATATAAGACTACCATTGAAAGTAACATTTTAGAGGAATATCCTCAAAAGGTTAGAATGTTTAAAATGTATTAATTAAAAAATGAAGTTAACTTTTATAAATCCTATCTTTATCTTTATTTTGTAACACTATATATGCAGGTGTTATGAGTATGTGTGTGTGTGTGTGTGTGTGTGTGTGTGTGTGTGTGTGTCTCTAGGCGATTTAAACACACTAGTTAAATACATGAAAAACTGAATAATGGGTGGAAAGATTACTAGCAATTTTTATTTTCTTCTGAGTACTTCTTGATATTTTCCACAATAAACACATATTCACTACTTTTTAAGTAGGAAAAAAAAAACCTAACTTTGTGGCCATCTACTTTGGTTTTACAGATTTTAATGATTCATTTTAGTCATCATTCTGATGTTTATCTGGAAGCAAAGTTAGGTTACCTCCATCAAACATAAATATCCGTTTCTCTCTAATGACTCACCGGCTGTCCCGGTCCCACAGGAGTATCCGTATGTGATTGATAATGGACGGCTGGCCTAGCTTAATCTCAATGCCTGAACGGCAGTCATCATCAATTGGGTGCCTAGAAAATCCGTGATCCAAATCATAATTTTGAGTATCACCATCTAATAAGGCAGACTTCAGCTCCCCTTTTACAACTTGGGCTCCATACTTCATAGTTGCGATGTTTTCTTCTGGAACTTCAATTAAAAATAGAAAAAGCAAGGTTAATGGTTACTTATTAAATAATTCTATATTGGGGGGGGAAGACAAAATTCTAGGTTTTAAATGATTCTCTTATCTGCATATAATTTTAAAATGGCATAGACAAGTCTATGAGGGTAGAAGATACAGAAGATCTGTAAGGATTAAGACAATATCCAAAGTTCTAATGAAATGTCACTATCACACCTACGATGTGCCTGGAACTAAATCTTTTTAAGAAAAAGTTAATAATATTAGAAAAGGCATGTACTGGGATAAACCAATCAGCTCTGCTGAATTCATTCTGTTAGTAGCTTTAATTTAAGATTTACAGGACAAAGATAGCACGTAGAATGACCTGTACTGCCATCTGGACTAAGAGCAACATACAAAAGCAAAGCAAACAGGTCAGACATCTAATAAGAGAAGAGAAAGAAGGGTTCCAATGTAGCATAGCAGAGAGACACACATGGACATGTTGGATCACTTCATCTAGCTAAAAACCAAGACTATGTCTAGAAGAAAATATATTTCACCTCACTTGAGAATTTTTTTAAATGAAAATTCAGAGTCTGTCATCAAAATCAGTATTATGATTATTATTAATCCCTCTCTCCCTTCTCCAATATCAGATTTATTAAACATCTATTGTGCCTGGGACTTCAAAGTTTACTATGTAAATTATGTTCCACAGCTCTGGAACCTGTCTCCCAGATACTAACATTCTAAAACTGACACTCTCATAAAAAGAAAAGAGGCTGCATGTTAAGAGGCTGAGGAGGCACAGTTTAGACATGGCTCCACCTTTAACCACGTATGTCACTTCAGGGAAGATACCCTCTCAAACTTCACTTTCTTAAGAGGATAATACTACCCTGTCTGTTTAAGGATTGAATGAGGTGATGCTTGTAAAGCAGATAATATGCTCTTAAAAACTGCCATTACTATTATTAAACATATATATAAAAACACACAATAAGCCAACTATACAAGTTTATAGACTGTAAGTAAACACCAAATCCTCATGGCACACATATGTCTTGGCTCTGTGATTTGAAGAAAGGTAAAGTGTGAGCTATTATCAAAGTGTTAGGGGAAAGATGATAAGTAATTCACCACTGCACATTTCTTGGAAAATTGGTTTTTCAAAACATTTAGAATGGGGACCAGCATGGCTCCAGAAGAGGACAATAAATACAGCTGAAAAGTGGAGGGTGGAATGGGATCTAAGCAACTAGCCAGAGACTGAGGAGACTCAGCAACCACAACTGCAGTCACTCTTAGCTGCTTGCCATCAGAAGCTGAGTGGCACAGACTGATGACTTTCTAAGGTCTATAAGCTTACGATAATCATGCACGTTCTTCCTGTTCATTTAACAAACCTTGTGTAATACGTATACTAGGTGCTACACACTGTTCTAAGCACTTGACAAATACCAAATCCTTTGAGAACAGTACTTCTAACACATCCATTTTGCAGATGAGAAATGGAGGCAGAGAAAAGTTAAATGCACTTGCTTGCCCAAGGTTATACAACCAGCAAGTAGCAAAGCTGAGGTCAGAATCCAGGCAGTCTGTCTGCAGGGCCCCACGTTTAACACAGTGTTATGCTGCCTCCCTGTGAGGTTTCTGATGGCATGGCCACACCTTTTCTCTTTCTAAGCCCCACTTCCCTCCAAGGTTGCTTAAGACCCAGAGGAAGGAAACAATTTCATACAGATTTTTAAAAAAATAAAAATGGGAATTGGGATTTTTTTAAATATTTTTTTGTAATTGTAGATGAAGTGCTGAGAATCAAACCCAGTGCCTCACACATGCTATGCAAGTGCTCTACCACTAAGCCATGATCCCAGCCCAAGAAGTGGAATTTTAAAGTGGAAAAAAAAAATCTAGATTTGAGATTCAGACTCTATTATTCACTGTCCTTCAGTGAGGCTTCTTAGTCTCTCTAAATCTGTTTTCTTGGTTGAACCAGGGTTACTTTACCACTGAGCTACATCCCCATCCTTTTTAATTTTTGAGATAGGGTCTCACTAAGTTGCTAAGGCTGGTCTTGGCTTCCACCATCACTGAGATTCTAGGTATTTGTCAACATACCCAGATAAATGTGTTTTCTTATCTAAAAACAATAAATAATCATTTTCTAACCCATCTCGTAGGGTCGCTGTAAAAACAAAATTATACTACAAGCAACATATGCTAAAGTACTGTGTAAGTACATAGGCTTCATTTCAGTCAAGAAGTTTATGAGGGGCTGGGGTTGTAGCTCAGTGGTAGAGCACCTACCTAGTATGTGTGAGGCACTGGGGTCAATCCTTAGCACCAAGTAAAAATAAATAAAGGTATTGTGTCCACCTACAACTTAAAAAAAGGTTAAAAAAAAAAGAAAAAAGAAAAAGATATTTATGAGAACTCATTTGATACCAGGTACTGCAAAAGCAGCACTGGGAGTGACTTGGTAAATCAGACCAAGATGGGTCCTTCTGACCCCTTCAATCTAGAGATGAAGTACTTTATAAGCAAGCAAACAAGGCTTCAAATGTGTGCTTTTCAATATCATTAACCACTTGGTAAAAAAAAAAAAAATTATATATATATATATATATATATATATATATATCATTAACCACTTTGTCCCTCCTTGCTGGGAATAAAATGTGGAGGCACAAAATCTGTGGTTGCTGACCACTGGAACCATCTCCTCTATTTCTGACACCACCAGGAGATAAATTTAAGCCAAAGAGGGGAACATCAAGCTTTCAGATTTAGAGACTGATGCCACCTTTGATTTTCTCTTAACATAAGGTTCTTCAGCAGTAAAATTTATCAAGCTAGGAATAATATACTAGGCACAAGAGTTTCAAATGACTGTAACTCAAAGTCTAAATAGAAATGAAATTTCTTTCACAAGTACAGATCTTCTTTTGAAGTTCATTTCAAAAGTACTTGAGAACTTTTCTAGCCATTCTTGATAGATTCATTCTCTGACAGTATCTTTTGCTTCAAAATGGAGAACACTTATACAAGTGGAAATTCTCTCATGGTAACTAGACTGAGTATCTTTCTGGAAAAAATATAACTCCCAGTATTTTATAAAAAATCTACAGTTAAATAATGAATTCAGTAGGAAAAGTGATTATGAAAAAAATTCAAATCATAAAAAATCCAAACCATGAATTTTCTTAGTAACCTCTATTGGTAGAGAAAAGAGTTCTCAAAAAATACAAGCTGGTAGGGAACAATAAGATAGTAGAGAGAAGTCATGATTTCCTTTATACTTATAATTTTAATGAATTTTATAAATATTAAAAAAATTATTGAAACCCTATACTAGTAGAAACAAATCAACTGTAAGAAAGGAAAAATGGGGCAGGACCTGTCCCTAGGTACATAGTGCCAAAATCTGAGTGGTGCTGGAGTAGTATCCTGTGTTTAATATCTTTTTGTTCTTCATCATCTTTTATTGGACTCTCTATTACATGTAGCTTCAAAATAGATTATATGGATCCAGGCTTAGTTCTCTGCTCAATGGAATCTCCTTACCCAATTCTGTCACCTAAATCATCTTCTACTCCCCATCCTGATTTCCCTAAAGAATGTGTGAATCCTCCTCCCTATGATACTTCCCATAACAAACACAGAATTACAAATGACTTTCTTAACAACTCCTGTCTTACCCCACTCTCTACAGGCCTCCTTTCCACAATCACCAATACTAGTACTCGAACACACCACAAAGAGGAAATTTAAAAGATCCATAGCAGGAGAAACTAAGGAAGAGTACGGGCCTCAGCAGGCAGAAGTCCAGCACTTTTATTTTAGCTTAGGCACTGACTTTACTTGGTAACTTTGGATAGTTACCTAGAAAGATTCTAGAACTAAATGTGAACTTCATTCTGTTTATTTAAACAACAAAAAACGACAAGACCTGAGCTGCCTACTATGTGCCTGCTGTCCTGGACCCAGCCCTCTGGAGCTCACCATCTCATGAGACAGAGCACAACTATGCACACTAAATACCTCTGCAGAGAGAGGCTCATTAGAGACAATTCACGAATCCCTAGTTGACAGGATTTCCACAACACAACAAACTACAGCTGGGAAGATACAACAGCAACAAAAGTCCAAGAGCTTTAAAAGCATGAAAGGTTCAGTATGCACTATCTTCCTGTGATGATGAAGCAAATTCTAGTTTAGAAATCAGGAAAGGATTCACTTATTTATTTTAAAAGTCTATATTCAGGAATTATGCTAGGTGCTGGAAAAATGCAAAAAAAAAAAAAAAAAAAGACATAATTAAGTCCTTAGGAATTTCAGTCCAACAGGAGCCTAGGCAAGTAAACAACTAGAATATCACAGTAGCAAAGCTCCCCATCTGATGACTAGAACTATGGAAACAGGCACAGGGTGAACGGACAAATTTAAACACACACACACACCAATAAATTGACTTTTGCCCAATACAAAAATCTTGAGAATAGAATTTGTGATGTAGCTCCCTGTTATAAACAGGCAGAAAGAAGAAATTACTGTTCTCTTTCCCAAAGTCTAAAGCCCGATATATACAAAACAAAGTAACTCAGCCTTAATAGAAAAAGCACTAACTTTCAAGACAGAAATCTCTCTATAGCCAAGATAAAACCAAATGTTGAGATGTTACAGGTATTTCAAATAGCCTAAGGAAAAAAAAATAATTTCATTAAAAAGTTAATTTCTCTCTTCCAGCCGTATAGATAAATGCTCATCATTATATATGCATAAAACTAGTCTAAACTACTTTCCAGAAAGACCAGTCATCACTGGTAAGTTAAAAATATCCCCTGGATCTTCTTTTTTTAAGGAGGAAAAAATATCTCTTTAATTTTATAAAAGCTTCAGGACATGCATTTTTAAGAATTAAACCTTGTACTAATCAAATATAATGAATTCAGAGAAAAAGCATTAGAGTCCATGCTCCTGTCCCCAAGGTAGGACCTCCTTCCATTTCATGAAAAGTCCCTAAAGACACAAAACATAGGGCCAGGGAGGAGCAAACCAAACAAATAAATTCTGTCAATAATTCCAAAGTAAGCAGACCTATCTTTTCAAGCCATCAGAAACAATTCTGAAGCTTTAGAACTTTTCTCCTAATTGAAGAAATTTGATAAAAAATAATGCTAGGGGGTCTGGGGTTGTGGCTCAGTGGTTGAGCACTCATCTAGCACATGCGAGGCCCTGGGTTCGATCCTTAGCACCACATTAAAAATAAATAAATAAAGGTATTGTGTCCAACTACAACTAAAAAAATAAATATTTTAAAAAGTAATAATAATGCTAGGGCTGGGTTGTGGCTCAGAGGTACAGAACTCACCTACCATGCATGAGGCACTGGATTCAATCCATAGCACCACATAAAAATAAAATATTTTATCTACCTATAACTAAAAAATAAATTTTAATAATAACAACAACGACGACATGAATGTTTGGATAACGACTTAGAAAATAATTAACATCTTTATGCTATGCCTCCTTAGTATTTATATTATTGATTTTACTATTCAAACACTTGAAAAGTCAGGGAAAAAAACAGCTTGCTATTTAATCATTATTCAAGTTTAGAAGCTAGATAAAAGATTATCAAACATTTTCATTATCTGTTCCTGGAGCTCCCCCCTGAATTATTCCAACATGAAGAATTGAACATTGATGAACAATAATCATAATCAGTGCATCATTCTATAACCGAGTGCCTCTCCTGGCTGATAATGCCTTTCACAGGTAATCTCATGGGTTTATTACAATCCAGATCTTATACCTATTTGTACCAGCTGAGCAAATCCAAGCTACCAGTAACTATGTGAAATGTCCAAAGTACAGCCTCATTCCTGCAGCCATGTCCTAAGCCTGTCCCCTTAACAAATCCAATTCCAAGGTCCTATCAGCAGCTCAGATCAAATCTAGAACAAGAAGGGATGGCAGGGAGTTTCCATAAGAAAGAATACAACAACAAGGATTTGAAAGTCTAAAATTAACTACTATCCCACCCTCCATCCACCCACACTTCAACCAAGGCTGATCCTCAGCCAGCACCTCTTCCTGGACCCTCCCAATCTGTTTTCTGCCACTACCACAGTGTTTCTCTACTACCTTTTACCCCACATATCAGATAGCTGACACATCCTATCTGCTGTCTGTTCAAACATACATGGCCTAATTCCCTGTGTAGCCAGGCTTCCGTTCAGACTACTTATCAACTCACAACTTTACTCTCAATTCTTACTGGCCTTGACCTCCTAGCATCATGAGATGCCATAAACCACGCCCTTCATATAAAAGCTCTCCCCTCAGTCTCTATAGCAGTCCTCCATCTCAGTGGTCTCTCCACCTCTCCAACCCTTCCTTCTCTACCTTATGGCCCCTAGCCATAGGTCTTCCTCATGTCTCAGACTTTGATTTTTATTTCTTTCTCTATATTCTAGTCCAGGTTTCAATTCTTTTTATCACCAGCTTTGACTGCTTCCTAAACAACAGTAATGTGTTTCCACTTCCTATCAGATATTTCTTTTTAATTCAGTTACCAAGAGTCTGCTATATGCTATTAAGTGTGTTAAATGGTAATTACACAAAGATCAATGAGATCTACAAAGATCATCTCTGCCTTCAAGGATCAAGACATGTAAACAAATATGTTTAAAATAATGTGATCAATGGGACAACTTCCACACAGATGTTGAGGAAGAACATATCAACACTACAATGATGGCTTTCTATATTGAGCTTTCTATACACACATTATTTTTGCACATTATTTGTACACTTTATTTCAATTAATTCTTGTAACAATAGTAGGAGATACAAAAATAAAACTCTTCTATTACCAGATCATATAACTGGTAAATGACTAATTCAGGATTAGAAATAAAGTTTGTCTGGCCTCAAAAATCAATACTTTTTGTCTATGCCTAGTGAAAAGAAATCTAGATCTGATGAGTCAGGAGATGAATCCAGGCTAAGGATACCTGTTTAAGATCAATCAGTATTTCAAGCATGTCTAACACCATGGTCAAGGAAGAGATCACTCAGAGAATGACTAACATTAGACAGAATTTACAGCTTAAATGTCACAGAAACCCTCAAATGCAATAAATCAAAAACCAAGCTCAGCCTATATTTCATTAACTCTAAGGAATGTCTTTCAAATTTCAACAATTCTGAAATTAGGATATCATGGAGTGCCATGATTTAATTGGCAATATTCTTTTCTTTGTGGTTCATAAAATAATAATGCCTCAGAATTTCTGGCTTCTTCAATTTGAAAAAATATGTTAACTTTATCCTAAATTTGGTACCCAACTTTAAATCCCTTGAATCACTAAAATCTAATATTTTTCCATAATATCCCTCCTATACATCCATTATTTTCCATTTTTCCTGACACCACCTGGTATAACACTGTTATCAATTGTGTACAGATTAAAAGCCCTTCTCACTGGTCTTCCTAAATTCAGTTACTCCCTATTCCAAATCATCAAGGACAACACCACAGATCAATCTGCCCAGACCTCAACTGTGCACCTACTGCTGTCCCTCTGCGCTCCCCATGCATAACAAGGACATTCCAAGCAGTTTCAAAGACTTCCATGATTTGGCTTGAAATGACCTATACATAATTTATTATTAATCAACATAAGCCTTCTATTCTTTTTTATTATTTTTTAGTTATAGATAGATAATACTTTTATTTTATTTACTTATTTTTATGTCGTGCTGAGGATAGTGCCTCACATATGCTAGGCAAGTGTTCTACCACCCACTGAGCCACAACTCTAGCCCCATAAGCCTTCTATTCTAATCAGGCTCTTCTAGATGTGGCCCCTCAAATGCTCTAACCTCTATCTAATTAGCCTCATTAATTAGTCTTCCCACCTGAATTCACCCAAAACTGATGCCATTCAAATCAAACTTGAGCTTCATAAGCTCCATGAAATCTCCCTCATTCTAAGCCACTCTCTCTGAAATGGCATAGCATGTACCCTCTTGGACACTGTATTTAAGTTTCCATGCAAGTTATATCTTATATCACAATGAAATTAAAAGGATCAAAGGTAGAGACTGTTTTTTTACACTTATGCAGCATAATTTAGTGGTTACTTACACAGACTCTGAAGTCAAACTACATAGGTTTGATTCTTGGCTCCTTGTTTTTCTGTATGACCTTGGGCAAGTTACTAATGTCTCTGTGCTTTCTCATTTGTAAAATTAGTTAAACATAAGAACTACCTCACAAAGAGCTATGAAATCTAAATGGTCAGGTTGGAAGGACCTGTTCTCCCTGCACAGTAAGCATTTGATAAGTGTTAATTGCTATTATTTTCACTAATAAAAAAATTTACCACATAAGTATTGAAAATGCCGTATCAATGTTAAATATCAGGGCAGTTATTTAGAATCTCCATATCTGTAATACCAAAATATATACACAGCATGTACTAAGTACTTCTCTGATGGAGGAAGAGAAGAAAGGTCTTAGGATGCAAAGCAGCTTTTCAGAAAAATGATTTCTGATATTCTGGGGAATAGATGAAATTTGTCCAGGAATGACTAGAAATATTCATGTGGGGGTCTAATAAATCTCAGGAAGAATTCATAGATAATAACAGGAAAGATATTCCATAGGAACTAGAGATGTTTAGCCCTACACATACCATTTATACCTGCACTATGGTTTTGTAGCGAGTAGCTACAAATGGCAAAAGATGCAAATAAAACTTTCGGTGAATTTAGGATAACCAGGTACTTACTGAGCATGCCTCTATAATTGAGGTCCATATCCCGGCTCTCCGACCGTACTTTAATAGCATCCAGAATGGCGTCCGGAGACAACAGTCCCGAGGGCCTCACAACATTGAGAAGTTCAGTGAGGCTCATCAAAGGTAATCGCACAGCCTGCATGATTTCCACATGATTCTCCTTTGAGTTGTGCTTACACCAGTTTAACAAGGCTAAGAAAATATCTTTTTCAGGAGCCGCAAATGAATCTCTTAACACAATGTTTAAAAGTGCTGTCTGAAAATGATAAAAAGGAAAAATCCAGTTATGATAGAGACCAACCATGTGTACAATCAATCAGCCTAGGCTTTACAGAACTGCAGATATCACTTATATTTAGATAATTCCTTCTGACCTTCATCTTTCCTTATGCCACTTGCTTATTATGGCTGCCTTAATAATAAGAAAGGATGGTAGCACCTTTCCTTCCTGCCCAGGTACCTTGTACTACTAGATGGTCTCTCCAATACATCTGTACCTGTCTTTTTTAAAATACCAGGAAGGAAAGTGACCAAGTGAAGAGCTCTCAATACATGACAAGTTCTTTAGGAGAATGTACACTTGTAAATCAATAAGATACATCTGGCATTTGAAAATTAAAAGACTTGAGCAAAATAGTTTCACTCTACCTATGATAGTGAATTTTGAGCCAGCCAAAAAAAAAAAAAAAAAAGCAGTGTTTTAAATACATCAATGACTCATCAGACTTTCTTTATCAATTTTCCCTCTTGCTAAAAAAATGATTAAGGGCTATGGTCATGGCTCAACTGTGGAGTGCTTGACCGGCACATGTGCCTGAGGCCCTGGGTTTGATCCTCAGCATCACATAAAAATAAATAAATAAAATAAAGGTATTGTGTCCAACTACATCTAAAATATATACATTTTTTTTAAAAGAATGATTAGTTGCACTCTCCATCAGAGAAATACAAAACCAAGAAGTAGTATGCAGTACCACAAAGGACCCTATTTGGCTGTCATCATCCTGAAAACAATCACCCAACAGCACAGTCTCTTTTGCACATAAAACTTGCCAGAAGACTCTTAAAAGAAAACAGAATCAATTAGCTTCTCTTCTTCTCTGATCTACAGTCCCAGCAATCAGAAGCAAGTGGCTAGACAGATATCATTGGTATCAAAGAGGTTCTTTATTTTTTTGTTTTTAGTTCATTATTGTATTGCCACTGTACCCATATAAATAAAACAATGCATGCCTACAAACTACTTGCACACAACAACACACCTTGGAAAGGGAGAGGAAACCTTCACTTGAGAGCACCTCCTGAGCATTTCTGTCCATGAACATGCAGCACATACAAGTTAACTTGGGAAGTGAGTAGAGACTGGCGACATCAAAAGTCATACAGACATTCTGAATGTTAAGTATGGTGCAGAGATACTCAGAAGTAGAATCCTCCAGCTCTGGAAATCCATATTTATGAGCCAGGCTCAAAAAGTCCAGCAGCACCTCCTCCTTCTCATCTGTCAGTGTCGCCCGCCCAGTGTAGATATATTTGAGTAGCATTGTGAATGCTTCTGCAGTGGTGTCTTCAAGAGGGATTTCTGCTTCAGGCTGAGACTCCCGCATTCCACCATACAGCAACGCTCTACACATCAGAGAAGAAACACAGGAGGAAAGCCTCAGTAAGATTTGCTACAAAATATGTGAAATAATAGTTATCAGTGTTATACAATCATACATTTGTTTAATGGCACAAAGATCCAGGTGAAAAATGAAAAGTAATATTTTAAATGATTTGTTAAAGCAAGAAGAAGAAGAATTTAAAAACCATTTGAATTAATTTCATAAACAACTGAACTAATGAGTTATCCTGAGAGCTTAAGATTAAATAGGAAATTGGAAGTCATCCTTTAAGAAGAACAATGAAATCAATATAAAGATGCTAAAAATCAATAGGCAGTTTAAAAACTAAATCTCTATACGAAAAGATGTAACCAGATCAAATTAAAAACAACAATCAGATGTGATTTTTCCCTGTCAGACTGGTATAAATTAGAAAGCCAGTTAATATCCAGAGCTTGGAAAACAATAAGAAGGTTCTTTCCTGCACTGCTTTGAGAGTATATAAAAATGGGCCTCCATTTTGAGAAAGTAATTTAGTAATTGAAATCTGAAATGTGTATACCATTCAAGTCAGTAATCTCTCTCTCAAGACTCAACTATAGAGAAATAACATAGTAAAGGTAAATACAAAAGAATATATACTGAAACACTGGGGAAACCTCAATAGGAACATGGTTGAATATGGCTGAAAAATGATGACATAACATTCTATGCAGCCATTACTAAGACCAATGGAGACTGAAAAATACTGTCTTGGAAAGATCTATCTTGGTTCTCTCCCAAGATATAGTGGACAAGTAAGGAAGGTTCCATGCTTACTGTGAAAAGTTACTCTTGTATAGTTAGGTTGTCCTTACCTGGGAATTGATAGGCTTTTGTGACAGCGGTTAGGCCTCTCCTGACTGCCGATAATTTGGTTTATTTTGCACAAGAATAGTGTTCAATGAGAATCTATCCAAGAAAGTCTTGGTAACGGCTCTGAGTTTAGCCAATGAGTCATCAAATATTACAAAGGTTCGATATTCAGAGAGACATTAAGAAAAAGTGAGGGAAGTACACTGCATTCACTCAATATGACCTCCCAATTTCAAAAAGGATTTGAGTTTAAGAATATACTGATAACCCCAAAGATACCCACAGTTAGTTCCAATTATTTTTGAATACTGTAAACTGCAAGGTATACATATTCAAAAATATTAAACATAAAGCTGAAAAATTCTGACTTAATGAAGAGTAGACCTTCCCCCACCACCACCACCACTGGGGATTGAACCCAGAGACACTTAACCACTGAGCCACATTCCCAGACCTTTTTTTTTTTATATTTTATTTAGAGACAGGGTCTCCCTTAAGTTGCTTAGGTCCTCGCAAAATTGCTGAGGCTGGCTTTAAACTTGAGATCCTTCTGCCTCAGCCTCCCTAGCTTCTGGGATTACAGGTGTGTGCCATGATGCCCAGCAGGAGGAGACTCTTAAAAAACACTTTAATAGGGACTGGGGCTGTAGCTCAGTGGTAGAGCGCTGGCCTAGCATGCATGAGACACTGGTTTCGATCCTCAGCATCATATAAAAATAAACAAGTAAAGGCATTCTGTCGGTCTACAACTACTACCTAAAAAAAATTTTTTTAAAAAAAACACTTTAATAGTAGTAAGTGGACCAAAAGTAAGAAAACTTAAAGATACACAAAAGGAAAAATGTGCAGAGGTCAGAGGCTGGTAAAAATAATGACCTGGCCAAGGTCAGATGAGTTGGCTAAGGTACTAAGGAAACTGAAAAGGAGAGTGTTAGCAGGAATCTGTAACAAAACTCCTCCCGTCTTTTCTAAGCTCCTGATTTCATCTATAGTAGTATTTTATTTGTGTTGAAAATGTTCATAAGGGACTCTAGCAGTTCTAGCTAGAACACATATTTCCAAGAGACACACTTTATTACAACATGTGTGAATCTGGGTGTTGCTGTTTTGCCATCTTAGTTTGTTTTATGCAAACAGTTAACCGTCAGCAGTTGGGAGAGGCCTAAGCACCTTCACAATCGCTGTCACAAGAGTCTGACAATTCCCAGTAAAGGACAAGTTAACTGTATAAGAGGGAACTTTTCACAGTAAATATGGAACCTTCTTTACTCACCTCCTGTACCTCAGGAAAGAGTCAAGACAGATCTTATAAAAGCCAATGTGCCATTTTCACTAGAAGGCAACTAAAATTTAGAGGCATGGGCCTCTCTCCATTTTTAGATCAGCTTCTTAGGAAAAATCTATAATTCTATGGACCATTTGTTACTTGTAAATAAATAAGGGCCATTATCAGAGATACATTATCACTCAGTCAATAATTCAGAGACAATTCCCTTATAACTAATGTAAGTAAAATGAAGGGTAATTAAGAGATCAGTATAATCTGAAAATAAAGGATCTAATAACACAATAGCTGTATTTATGTGGGATTTTTACATTAATTAAGTATATATTTTGTTAGTCTTAGTTCTAATATAACTATGAAACTTAGTCTCCATTCCTGTTTGTTTCTTTTGTTTACCCGTCTTACAGATCTCTCAAGTTACCTACAGGTCCTAGACCTCAGCAGCCCAAATCCAAGAGGCATACATGTTCATTAGCAGGTTGGAAGCTGAGTATTACCTAAATAACAAGAAGTCTATCTACCAATCAGTGATGTGAAAGGCATACAATCCAAAATTAAAGGAATTCTGTTTTTTAAAAAAAGTTCATTTACTGTTTTGAATATAAAATTTCAGAAATACAGACTACAATGAAATCATCTATATCCTTTTGTATTTTGCATAAATATTATTCAGGTTCACTAAATTATTTTATAATTCTATTAATTTGAAAATCAAATAAAAATTATATAAACACCTAACTCCTGCTGTGTGCAGGTCCCAGTAGAGAAGCTAAGGCCACTAGCATTGTTCTTATACAATATTGGTCACAAATGTTAAAGCAAAAATGCATGTATATATTTGAATAAAATAAATGTCATTCCATGTAGTGGGGTTGAAAAAGACTCAGTCTAAGAAATATTCTTCATATCTTAAAAAATAGTCAATGGGCACTGTCTGGCCTGGGAAGCCTTCAAACTCCTTAACTCTAAGATGGTTCCTAAAGGAAAAGGTGATTCTAAAATATAATAATAATTTTAAAAAGTCTACCAAGATGAAATTCTTAGAGAGGCTGAATTAAAAGTTTGCTAGAATTTGCTAGTTTGCTTAGGTGCATATTTTTCAGAGTAGAAAATACCAGTGTTTTCTACACAACGACTTAAATTTTCAAAAAAACACTACACACTTACCGAAAATATTGGCATCTGGCTGCTAAAATTACCCTGTGGGCAGGAAAACGTTTCTTTTCCACGACAAATGTGACATCACCATATTCTTCCCCAATCAACAAGGCACCGATGTGCTCAGACAAAATGTGCACGTGATCAATTTCCCCCACTGCAGTAAAGGGGCGAAGAGGGTGGCTATTACTCATCTTGTAGAACAGACGGTAGTCACTGATCTAGCACACAAAGAAGGGGTAAGAGTTAGCATGGAAGACAGTGCACTCAGAAAGCCACCTGATAATACAACTAAGCAAAAGTTCAAAGTGCTCAAAAAATTAACATGAGAGAGCACTCATCAATGGTTGCTTTATTAACTGATTTATTCTGAGAAACACTCAACCTACTTTCAGGCCTTGTCACAGTGGAAAAGCAAAATGCCAGGATCTTCAAACATTCAGGCAATTAAAACCATCATATTCTAGAAAACTGAGCCAAGTATAGGTCCCACATTCCTTATTATACCCGCAGGAAAAAGAAAAAAAAAATCAACATTATTTTACATACATTTATTTAGTAAGGTTTAGCATAACTATATCCAGATACACCCAGGCATAGATCTAGGCCTCAATTACAAACAGAATAAATAAAATTATCAGATTTCACAGAAGATACTTCGGTGTAAAACCATCTTAAATACTCTCCAAAAAATAATCTTCTGGAATCTCAAAAATAACTTGACATTAATGAAAGTCTACAGTAGCATCCAAGCCCCTCTCAAAAAAGAAGAACTCCAGAATTTTTCTCAAGACTATAATTTCCGGGCTGGGGTTGTGGCTCAGTGGTAGAGCTCTTGCCTTGCAGATGTGAGGCCCTGGGTTCAATCCCCAGCACCACATAAAAGTAAATAAATAAAATAAAGGTATTGTGTCCATGTACAACTAAAAAAAAATTTTTTAAAAGACTAATTTCCATCTCAATCTTGTAGTTCTGATGATTAGGTTACTAGTGTTTACCAGAACCTCACTACATTTTATTTCACTTATAGGCACTTCCTGACTTTTATACGCAATGTCTTTCTACAAAGTAACTGAAAATCAAAGGTTATAGGTTGATTAATAGTTTTACATGTTAGAAAGAGGATTTATGATTTTAGAAAGCTAAAAATACTTATGTTTTAAGCCCCTAATGTATTTGCAGGTACTTCTCTTCCATTATTATATGGAGACTTTACTAGCATTCAGTGCCCCCGGTGGAGAGAGATCTGGTTGCCCAGAGGCGACTCAGCTACTCCTCAGTTGCACCAGACACTAGGGGAATTGAGCCGGATATGTTTTCCCCAGTGGCCATCTATACCTTCATGAACTCTCTACTTGGACCAGAATCAAGGCTTTAAAACTTCCATATCCAGATCCATTATTTGCAAGGTAAAAATAGCCTTTCTGTCCTACAACTACAATGAAGAGCTTCACAGACCAAGTTCCTGAAGCTACCTACTATCACACGCCTGCCCCCAACAAAGGAATCAACAGCAAGGACTGTGATGCAGGAGAACAGGGAAGGACCAGCTAGCAAAGAGACATCCACTCAGGTAAGTGAGAGAGCTCCTGGTCCCCTTATAATAGGTAGGAGCATCAGGGGACTAGCAGCATCCTCCCGTTATTGCCAGGACAAATCCCTCTCCTTCCAGTGCAGCCTAAAAATTGAAATGTCTCTAAGTCACTAGTGTATGAAGGACCAAATTCACCTTCAAAGACTCTGTTTAGGAGCATAGCAGGTAATGTGTGCTACTGTAGTCTAATGTGTAAGACAACGGCCCAATACGAAGGAGGGCAAACTTTCTGCAAAGGATTAGAGAAAGTATTTTAGGTTTTGTTCACTACACAGCCTTTGTCACAACCATACGACTCTGCCACGGGAGCCTAAATGCAGCCACAGACAACAAATAGCCTTACAGAACAAGGCTGTTTCAGTAAAACTATTTGTTAGAAAAAAAGAACTGGAGAGCTGGGGTCATAGCTCAGTGATAAAGTGCTCGCCCCGCATGTGGAAGGCACTGAGTTCGATCATCAGCACCACATAAAAATAAAATAAAGGTATTGTGTCCACCTACAACTAA